AGGTGTTTGTTACATTTTTCACTTTTCTTCTGGTATGGTAAAAATATTAATGTTAAAAGTAAATCAACAAAATTCAATCCTTATTCTACCACGCCAAAAAAAAAAATTGAAGTTAGTTTTGAATCTACACTTATAAAAGTCGATTTTAGTTCTAGAACAATTAATGCTGCAATTAGGATTATGAATTTTATCCTATGAAAATGAATTTCTCCTTTTCTTTCTATTAAATTTATAGACAGACAGCCTCTACAGTAATACTACTCCTACTTAGCTGTCACTTACAGTATAACCTCAGTTATGGAAAATATACACAGAATAAAAAGCAGTGAGAAATTATACAATATTATACAATCATTACATAATTATTAATTGTACCATTCATCAAATATATGCATCAGAAGATATGGGCTTTGAAGGAAGTGTTCAAGTTCTTGGCCCTCTAGTAGCTATTGGGTTGTCGGAAAAGTCATGACATATTTTTTCTATGCTTTTCGTTGCAAAAATGCATCATGACTTTTCTGACAACCCAATATTTTAAACCTAATAAGCCTTATCTCTGGAAATCAAATACCTCTTAGGGCCATAAATTTTGATATGCTAATCTAAAGTAATAATTATTCAAGGATGTGTTTTTTAATTATGTTCCATTTTCTAGTCATTTTTATTGAATAACTTAGATCCATTACCAAACTTCAGTTTAAGAGATTAGATTTAGTACTGTGGCTAGTTTTTAATAGAATGAATTTAACAAAATATGGAATGATGGTCTATTCAATAATACAGCAATTACATAACATGCTATAAAGCATTGCTAACCATGTTAATAAAACTAGACATGTGTTGTAAATTCTTATTTGTACTGCATTATTAAATATTGTAATTTCTAAGGGAGGTTTTCAGGAATCTGCCAAAATATTCAGGGAAAAAAAAAACGAAACTAAAAATAGCATAAGTTGTTCATTTTTTAAGATGCTGATTGAAACTACAGTTTAATTTTGAAACCCAAGGAGAAAATTTTCCAATAATGAAAAAAAAAAGGAAGAAAGAAAAGGAAAAAAGAGAATATACCAATGATAAAATGTAGAAAACACCCAAGTAGCATAAACAAGAAACATCATTACATTAATCCATACCAAGATATGATAATCAGAATTCCTCTAAATATACAGTAAGATATTTGAGGGCAGTCAGTTTTTGTCACCTATCTGCTCATCCAAATAAAAACCATCTATAAGAAAAATATTTTTATATTTTTCAATACTTTTGGTTATAATTAAATGTGACATTTATCTTATGTAATAACATAACATTAACATCTTATACCATACTCCTGCTTAGTATAGAAGTTTTAAAAAATTATTCCAAAATAAGTGTTTCTGCATTTCACTAGGAAATTCTCTCACCCTCAGTTTCAGAAGGTTAACTTTCCTCTGTCCCTCCACCCCATCCAGTGGCAAAGGTAGGTAACTGCAATCTAAATTGAGCTCCTAACTACCAACCCCTTCTACTTTGTTTCAATACAGCAAAAAGTAGGAGAGAATAGCTATAAGAAGTATGGTATATACTCGTGCAGGAGAACATCATAAGTTTCTCTTACTTGGCACACACTGTCCGTTTCATTAAGTTTCTGGCAATATCTTCAGAGGGAATATTAAGAATCCAAAAAGGAGACTGAAAGAAATTATATACAAGTTACTTGTAAGTGGTTTTATGACCTCATATGCTTTTATTCAAGTCAATAAGGAGACATTCCTATTTCCTACTTTTATGTAAAAATACATGATCTGACTCAAACCAAAATTAAAATTGCTCTAATAGTAAAAAAGTAAATTACTTTAACAGGTAACCTGTTAGGGTAATATAGCATAACGTCAGACTGCTTTTATAAGTGACACTATAAATAAAAATACCAGCAAATTTAAGGTTATTAAAACCTTAGATTAATTTTGTATTTGCTCTCTTATGTAGTTTAATCAAAAGAATTAATTCATATAATACCCCAAAGCATAATCTTGAAATTTTTTTATTGTTGCTAATTGTTCCTTATAATACAGCTATTTTATTTCCAACGTCTAAGTAAGGTAGCTCTTTGAAGGATCCCTCTTTTTCTAGATAGTTGTGGCAACCTGAGGGGTGGTGGTGGTGGTGGTCCTGAAATAACTATGATGGAAAAACATAGGGTAAATTATCATTAACTTTTATTATTTTGTCTAAGGAAAAAAGTTCCAGGTGCATCAGGGGGATTTCCCAATTCCGTCTCAACACCCAAGATTCAGATTACTTTTCCAGAATGCAGCAAAACCCAACAGGTCCCTAACCTTAGCTCATCACCCTCTCCCTATTATATCCACACTCTCCTTCTTTCCCCGCTTCCTCAGTAAGAGAAAGTCACCCAGGAGCACAAGCTCAGCATCAGGAACTTTCCTCTCATCTTTTGCTAGAAATCACCCCAGCCACACCCAGTCTTTCTTCTCATAGTATTTACACTACCCTACCAAAAAATTTAAAATAATCCAAACAGGAAAAAAGATGATCATCTTAGTAGTCGTATTCAAAAAATTTAAAGCAACCTGAATGAAATGAAATCATTAGATAAATTATGGTAAAGCTAATTAATGGAAACTATTATACAGCCCTGTTACAGAAGGTTATATAGCAACATGTGCTTCTATTAATACCATGTTTCCCTGAAAATAAGACCTAACTGGAAAATAAGTCCTGGCATGATTTTTCAGGATGCTTGTAATATAAGCCCTACCTCAAACACAAGCCCCAGTAAGGATCGTCAGCCAGACATGACATATGAATAAATGTAGATTTTTGTACATTAATAAATGAATAAATGTAGATTGTTGGAGCAAAAATTAATATAAGACCCGGTCTTATTTTCAGGGAAACATGGTATTTATCAAGTGAAAAAGAGACTGCAGAAGTTTATAAGTAGCATTACAATTGAGGGGGGAAAAAGTCTATGGAAAAAGACTGGAAGGCAGTATCCCTAAATTATAAGTCATGTCAAGGAGAAAGAATTGGGAACGATTTTTTTCTATTCCCAAATTTCTTTAATACAGTGATAAACTATCAAATACAAAATACAAAGCTCATAATTCACTGTCTTACACATGCACAATTTCAAATTTAAAATGAATACCAATATAAGCCTGAAATTCAGCTAAATGCTAACTCTACTTATATCTCATCAGTGGAAGACACCCTTTATTCAATGAAGGGATAGATACAAATTATGGCACAACTGTTGCATTAAAATTTATAATCTAATAAATGAGTAAATACTGGAAATAAATCTAAATTACTTTCCAAAACCACAACTTTTTCCAAAATATGCTTTTTATTCAATTACCCCTAGAAACAGCTACAAGTAACCACACAAATATTAATTTAAGATTTGCAGTTATTTTCTTGAAACCCAAGGCTCTATTTGTAAGTGTATTAAATATAATCTAATGAAAAATACAAATTTAACTTACCTTTCCATAAGTTTCCTGACTAGTGGTGAACTGGCCTCCAAAAAGTGAAAGCAAAGACTTTATTTCCTATATTGAGAATATTATAGAGAGAATACATTTTAACATAGGGAACTCAAAGTCTAGTAAAAGATACAGGTATAATACAATTAAAAAATAAAAAGAGTAGGTTGATGATCTACTTAATGCATTTAAATTTCAATACCAGACAGATTACAACTTCAGGTTCTGAAAAAATTTTACAGTCACAAATGAAAAAAATTCCTGAGAAATTTTATATAACAGGAGAGTTACCAAAACATTTGATCAGAAAATGCCGATTTTGAAAGGAAAAAAACAAAAAAACAGATCACAAAAACTATGGATTACTAAATCTGAAATTGGATGAATAAAAATAAAATGAATAATTACACAGATGATTTGAGGATGTTTAGAAAAATAGTAGCATTTTGTAAGTAAGTTTAGGATTCTTTTCTCCCTCTGAATCTTAATACCATAAACATTTTCCTCCTTGGCATCAGGATTGCAAATTTTCAATAGACAACAATATACTTTAGGCTGAAATTTTAGGTGGTTTTCAATTTTATCTGTTTAAAATAAGACTAAAATACAAATTTCATGAATATACAGCTTTTTCCATAGTTTGGATTATATCTTTAGGATAGAGTCACAATAAGTAGGGTTACTATATCCAGAGATATAAAATTTTTATGGCTTCTTATAGCAAGTATGGCCGAAGTGCTTTCTTAAAGCGGTGTCCTAAATTATAATGCTAGAGAATATCAATTTCACTTTACTACTGCTCAACTGGATGTAGTACCATTTTTGTCAACTAATTAAAAAAAAAGGTTGTTTAAATTTATTTTAAATTTTTTATTACTAGCACAGTATTTTTAATATGTTTGTTTACAGGCCATATTTAGAACCATTCTTTCTCTAAAAACTAAAATCATTAGTGACGCATAAATTTATGATTAAAAGACCAATAATTTTACAAAATGTCAGGCAAGAGTGAAGAGAGTCCCATTGCAAATTAACTTTGCTATTCTGCTCAGTTAATCAGATAAATAAATATATGTTGAATTAAAAAAAGAAGTGCTTATCTAAGGAGCATCACTGTGAATTCATTAAGCACAAGCTATAGTAAGTTAACCTCCTTTCTAGGTAAACTACAAAACTAGAAAGAGAACACAAGAGCTACTTTAAAAACATCAGATATCCAAAGTTGAAATCTGTTCATTGTATGTATATTCTATGAAGTAATCACTTTGTACTGATAAACGCAAGGTGACTATACAAATTTTATGTTTTGTACTACTCACAAGCTTTGTCTCCTCAAATAATATAAAGCAGGTATAATCCCATTCCCTCATGTAAGTCTTACAGAAAAGGTAACCTAATGAGAGAAAGTGTCCCCACTGCTGGGTGCCTACGATTCCCTTTCCTCTCAACTAGGAGAAGGAGCCTTTAATTCCAAACCCATCACGAGCCACAACCACCACAAGAGAAAGTATACCCAGACCAGGAAGGTCCTCCACCTCAAGACCAAAAAGAATGGGAGGTTTGAGCAACTAGTGCCTTTTCTGTTTTTTCCTTTTGTCCACGCAACCAATCTTTTTCTTTTAATCCCTGGTATTAGAAGGAGCTGAATTCAGTTGAATCATATGTCCAGACTAAGAACTACCATAGACTATTAGTAAATCACGGACAGTAGCCCCAAGTCATTTTGCAACATGGGTGATACAAATTTGAATAGGAGGTATCATTGGACTTGGGAGTCAGACCACAATTTGTTTTTCAGTTCTTCCAAATCAAGGCTATGTGGTTTTATACAAGAAACGTACCGTATTTGCCGGCGTATAAGACGATTTTTTGGCCCTGAAAAATATGCCTCCAAGTGGGGGGTCATCTTATACGCCAGGTACACTTCAGATAGACTGCCCATAGTGCTTGCCCCGTGCCATAGTGGCCTCCCGATGCCCGCCCACTTCATTCCACATACCNACAGTTGGCAAATAAGCATATAAAAGGTGCTTCATATCATATGTCATCAGGGAAATGCAAATTAAAATGATACCACTATATACCTACTTAGAATGGCCAAAATCCCAAACACTAACACCACCAAATTCTGGCAAAGATGTGGAGCAACAGGAATTCTCATTTATTGCTGGTGGGAATACAAAATGGTACAGCCACTTTGGAAGATAGTTTGCCAATTTTTAAAAAAACTGACATAGTCTTACCATATGATCCAGCAATCGTGATCCTTGGTATTTACCCAAAGGAGTTAAAAACTTATGTCCACACAAAAACCTGCATACAGGTGTTTATAGAAGCTTTATTCATAATTGACAAAACTTAGAAGCAAGCAAGATATCCCTCATTAGGTGACTGGATAAACTGTGGTACATCCTGACAATGTAATATTATTCAGCACTAAAAAGAAATGAACTATCAAGCCATAAAAAGACATGGAGAAACCTTAAATGTGTGTATTACTAAGTAAAAGAAGCAAGTCTTAAAAGGCTACATGCTATATGGTTCCAACATTCTGGAAAAGGTAAAATTATGCAGACAGTAAAAATATCAGTGGTTGCCAGAGGTTGGAGAGGGAGAAATGAATAGGCAGAGCACAGTGGATTTTTAGGATAATGAAAATACTCAATATGATACTAGAGTGATAAATATATGTCATTATACATTTGTCTAAACCCATTGAATGTACAACACCAAGACTGAACCCTAAAATAAACTATGGACTTTGGGTAATTATGATGTATCAATGTAGGTTCATCAATTGTAACAAATGTACTACTCTGATGGGCAACATTGGTAAGAGGGGAGGCTGTGCACGTATGGGGACAGAGGGTGTATGGGAAATCTCTGCACCTTCCTCTCAATTTTGTGAACCTAAAACTGCTCTAAAAATATGAAGTCTTTAAAAACAAACAAAAAGTTCAGAAAGGCAAAATCAGACCCAGTATTCTTCCACATTTATTTATCTTTCTTTCAGTTAATTAAGTACAGTTTGAAATAGCTCATTATTAATAATTTTACAATTCTTTAATTACAAACAAACAATATCACAACATGCATAAATAATGCTCTCGATACTACTTTAAACATTTTTAAGACAGGTTATGAATTAACTCTGCATTGAGCTAATGTTATAAACANGGGGGAGAGTCCTCCCTTGACCCTAGGTCTCCCTCAAACTGTTAACCAATCTCTTAATTTCCTTTCTTATCTCCAGTTAAGAGTAGTCTACTCTATCTCCCCTTTCTCATTTTCACTGACCACTAAACAAAGCTCCTCCACCCTAACACTCTATGCAACAGCTCTAGAGAAATTCCTAAATTGACCTGCCCGATTTCTGTGGCCTCCCACCCTTCCTAGTCTGACATTTGCCTATCTATCTTCTTCAACTTCCTGTTTTCTCACTTCCCTTAATATCAATACTTCCAAGTACCTGTATTTTGCTCACCACTCTTTTGACACTATGCTTTCTCTGAATAATTTCATTTTTTCTCCTAGTGTCATATGCAGATGACTCCCAAATATTTATTACCAGCCCAACCCATTCTATCATGCTGTGTGCATACTCATATATTCACTGCTTCCTGATCATCTCCACTTAATGTTACACAAGGACATCAAATTCAGCATAACCAAAATTGAAATCTTACATCTGCCTGCGCTCTCTATTTTCAATGGAGACACCCTTATACCCACCCCAGGACTCATCCTTGACTCGCCCCTCTTCCTCCCACCTTCAATCAATCATCAAGCTCTGATGATTTTATCACCTATTTACCGTCTATGCCATTCTGTTACCCCTTGCCCTAGTTCAGCTTTTTTCATTCTGCTACGTATTTTATCAGCCAGTAATAAGAATAGCTTGTAATTCTAATTTACTTATTTCTCTCCTTGGCCTGGCTAACTCCTGCTCATTCTTTAGTTCCAGTTCATGGAATCCATTTTAAAGGCCATCATCCTGCACCCCTTACCTGATTGGGTTCCCTCCTTCTATATGTTCTCATCTTTCCCTGCGCATCCATCTATCAGTGCACTTACCAACGTTATTTCATAACGCTATGTTTATGCATCTGCTCTGCCCTTTGCCTGAACAGTAAGCTCCTTGAAGACAGAAACTGTCTTTGTCACCGTTATATCCCCAACGTCCAGCACATTCAATTACAGGTACTCTGAAAATGTTTCTCGAATGAATAAATAAAACACTTTTCCCAACTTCTCCATCATCTAAGCCCTACCACCCACACTACCTCCCGACCCTCCCCCACGGAGTTTGACCCGCATATCTGACACTTAAAACACTGCACTGAGCATTCTGTCGCTGTCTATTCTCCGCTAGACGAAGAGCTCCTGGAGGGGGAGGGCCGGTACCTGGCCAACTCCGGTACCTGGCACACAGGTAGCGGAATGAATGAAAATGCTTAGCAAGGCTGCGAAAGTCTGTCTCGGACTTCTCTCTCACACACCCTCCACCTGTCCCAGAGGCCGGGAGACTGGGGACGCGCGATATCCCCGACCAGCACACCTCCCGGGGTCCCCGGGCGCTCGGGCTGCGCGGCTCGTCTACACCCGCAAACCAACCCCCACCGTCCGCTCCTGTCGGAAGCTGGTGGCGGCCGCTGCAGACTCACCGGCAAGCGAAACTCCAGGTGCTCTTGTGCCATGAGCAGCAGGTACCTGTTCAGAGGGCCCGGCAGCGCCATTGTAGCCATCACCGTGCGCATGCGTGACTGCCCGCGCGGTGTCCTACCCCTTCTCCCCATAACAGGGCGTTTCCGCTGAGGCGGAGCCTAAAGGGCTGGAAACGGAAGCTCGGCGAGGCGGGCGCTGCCCGGGCATCTGCGCGCGGATTTAGAGACTGGTGTCCTTGTGCTGTGCGCTCGCTGGCTGAGGTCCCCAAGTGCGAGTAGCTCGTGTGAGAGGCCGCGTTGGGTTCAGGAGCACGCTGGGATGAGACAGTGTAGTTCCCAGTGGCACACCCACCTGGGATGTACTTCCAACTTTCTCCACAACTCGTCAAAACCTAGTTCTTCAAAACTGGACTGAAATTTCACCTTTTCTGTACAGTCCTCTTTAACCACTCCAGTTCTTTGGGGACTGCCATACCTGGAGCACTCATTTAACATTTAGTATACTTCTCGTATTTTTGCAATAAGTTTTCAAGGACACATGCCTTGTAAGCCAATCAGAGTAAACTCTTGAGGACTGAGACCATCGCTTATGGTTTATTCTGTACCTCATCTAAAACAAATTCAATAATTAATAGATTGTGATGTCAGACTCACACGACCAATCCACAGCCAACTATATATTAAAACGAGGGAAGTTGCTTCTAACTATTACACTGGCACAGATTTAATGGTAACATAAGTAGCATATTCATAATTTTTAATAAGTTGCATATTCTATGAATATCTGTTGTGGCTTTTGAGAGTACTGAATCCTTTGCATTATTGNACGGCGAGTATATAACAAACTCTGTATTTTGAGTGGAAATGTTAGGGGGTCGTCTTATACGCCCAGTCGTCTTATACGCCGGCAAATACGGTAACTCCTTTGATGCTCAGTTCCCTCATCTGTAAAATACGTATCATAGGTACCTTGTGAGGTAAGGAGGTCTGCAAAGAAAGGAGCACCAAACCTGGGGTGTTATTAAAGGAATTATGATGACGATGGCCACAACACTGTCCTTGAAGTCCAGGGGCTCAAGAAATCAAGCAAGACTGACAGAGTTATAGTACTTAAAAGAAAAAGTGAAGCTATAGTTTAAGCTACCTCGTGTAGAATGATTATTGTTCATTTTATATTAAAGCGTATTGTGAAATCAACTTTCCATTTACAACAGTTTGCTGCTCCTGGAACACACTGTCAGAAATCAGCAAGAGGCTAAAATACAAAGGCTCTAAGAGTTTGAAAAAAAATTGAAGAATTATTGAAAGCTTTATGGCATAGCATTAGCTTTACTACCCAAAACTTAAGCAATGACTTAAAAGTGAGAATAAATGTGATAATGTAAGTGTTAAATATAAAAGCAAAACATGTATTAAACCTCTCCATCAACCTACATTGAAATAGCAAAACACAAGATCTTTATTCATCTTATGGCAAATTCACTTTCCAGTTGAGAATCTTTTCTCAACAAAAAAATGTATATAGGACATTGACTATAAAAATATGGCACGATCTGGAGCATTCCTGATGCATTAATTCACATGAGCTTTTCAGTTCTGTTAGCCACTTTTTCATCCATTTAATTTGCTTCAGAACCAGCAATAAAACCCAGGTGTCTGAAATTTACTTTTACTACAATAAGGCAGATGCCAACTAAAATTGGCCCTGAATAACTCTAGAGGTAAAACTGGACACACTTGCATGCCTAATCTCTCATTTTAAATCATAAAAGCTATTCATTACAGCTTTCCTGCAGAGCAGCAGTTCTAATACAGTAGATGGGTCCAGAAGCTAGACTGTCCTTTTGATTGCCTTCCCCAAAGGGATCCTATTTCAATCAATTCAATATTTATTGAACAACTAATATGTGCAAGGTGCTGAGCTATGTAAAGATACATTCATATTTATCCTCAGGGAGCTTAAGGTCTAGTAGAAATAATATAACATTTAACCTAGTAAGTGAACTGAGAGATGTAAAACACTGAGTGCTCTTAAAGAAGTAAAAGCAAAAAAGTATAATATTAGAGTACAAAGGAGGAAAAGATTACTTCAGTTTTAGAAGAAAAGTTTCAATGGAAACTGACTTAAGCCCTGAAACACAGGAAGAATTGATATAATTGATATAATTCCAGTGATGGCAAACTAGGTAATTCAGATTAAGCCTTTTGCTGAGAAGTAGTAGAAAAAACCTGACATCTGCTAAAGACTTGGAAAGATGACAAGAATTACCAAATACTAAATCCAGGTCCAAGAAAGGACAGAAAGTCCAAGGTGCAGCCACTTGCTCACAGGGACACTTACCAATTCCAAAAGCAGCTGTGAGGGGGGATAGCCCTTTTGATGGCTTAATGAAACTAGAGGGACAAAAAGAGTATAGGACCACCCACCCATAGGGAGGAAAAGAGGCTTGATAAACCACCCAGTTTAGACTGGAATCCCAAAAAGCTACAAACCATAGGAGTATGTGTGAATCGGGACAAAACTTGAATTTATGCCTGAAAATGAGCTCAAGTGATCCTAGTGAGCTCAAGTGATTGTGAAAGCTCCTGTGTGCTCCTGTCTTCAAGAGGATCTACGTCACCCTGGGCCTCCCATTTCTTCAAATAAATTTCAGATACAACATTTGGCACTGATTTAACAAATAATCAAGTACACATATGAAAAAGAACAAAAAGAAACAATTCATAATACAAACAGACCCACAGAACCCCTTTTATCAGTCACATTAACATAACTGTGCTTTCTATATTGAAGGAAACAGACAAAATCAAGAATTTTGACAGAGGATGAAAACTATAAACAGGAAACTGCAGATTTGAAAAAAGAATCAAGTAAGAAATATAAACCTAAAATAAAATAAACAAGTATGTAGGTAAATCTAAACAAAAAAAAATCAGTGGATTTTTTAAAAAAGTGGAATAGGAAAGACCCAATCAGACAAAAGGGAGCACAGGCCAAAGCAGGAAAACCGAGGGCATCATTCAGGGGATGAAGGAGAGTCAGTTTGGGCTGCACTGAGGGGTGTGGGGGAGATGATGCCTAAGAGGACAGAGGACAAAACCATGCAATGGTGGGCCTTGAATGCCACACTAAGGGGGTTTTAGCCTTGGGACAACAAGGACATAAAACAGAACTGAGCTTCTGAGAGACTGGACTGGCAGCAGGGTAAGACACTGACTAAGAAGAATTTAAGAAGAAACAGGTCAAATCGCGAAGTACTACGGATGCTATTCTTCGGCTGCAGCCTAACCATGCCCTTCTCACTGCACTTTGACTGTAGGCGCTCACCCTCCTTGGTCTCTCCCTAGTTCCACTCCAGCATCCTCAAAGTGGTACCCTTGCTCTGGTACTCCAGAATTATCTTTCTATGGCACAAATGATTACTACTCACTTCCTGGTTTAAGAAAACAAACACTTGTCACTTTGTCACTTAAAAAGGAAAAAGAGAGTCAATGGCTTCCCATGAAATCTAAAATAAAATCCAAATTCCTTGCAATGGTTTCAAAACACT